TTTTCGATAAAATATCTTTTAGGTAAGACCACTTTATAGCATAATTTAAATGAAAGTTTACAAATCGCTAACATTTATAGCTGTATGAATGTGGTCTTTTCCTTATCCCATATATTTTACTGTTATTAAGGAAATCAACATTTTAATAAAACAAAACTATTTGTTTTAAAGATGAATTTCACTGAAAACGTACAAAATTCATTTAATAATTAAAATATCTTTCTGCTAATTATAAGTGTTAAGATCTAGTTAGTCTGTCGACAAATAAACAAGATTACAACAAAATATTCAAATGGAAATATCAGTTTGTTTAGTAAGCTTATCACAGACGATAAATTGAGAAAAAGAGCACTAAGTCGAAAATTAAGTGTTTTTTTTTTAAACATTGCCCAAGCGAACAATCTAGAAATAAAACCTCTCATTTGCTCAATATTCGTTAAATATTAGAATGTCATTTTTATTCTAAGATAAATGAACTGAAATGTACGTATATAATAAATGTTGAATTCTCGGTCACAGCAAAATACAGTGGATAAAGTTATCTTGGTTTACTAACTCGAATCTTTCACCAGTTTAATACATTTAGTAAAACAATACGAATCTCATTTTGAACACCAAGTATGAGATGCCGGTAAACATCCGGCTACAAACAAGTCCTGAATAAGAAGAATCGAGCTCTATAGTCTCCATTGTTCATCACTAACTCTAATAATAAAGTTGTGTCAAATGAACTTAAAAATGATCTTCTAAGCAGTAAAAATGCAAATAAATTGTTTCATACACTTTTGTATTTCATGAATTATGTACTTGAATTAAAAAAAACTTAATAATCACTATCCACTTACGAAAATCTACCGATAACCATTTTCCCATCAAATCTGTGAAAAAATCTTTTTAATTGATAACACAAGAAATGAAAACCTATTTTAATTGGGAGAACATAAAATAACTACATGTTTTCGTGAACATTTATTATATGAAACCGATTGTGTAGGGCCGCGCTCACTTGTTAGATAAATAATAAAACCAAGAAAATCTCAGGAACGAAGTTCTATTGCGTAGTGACACTGATTAAACCATATTTTGTCTCCTACTTCATCCTCCTCACAAACGAGGTTTGGCTTGATGTAATATAGAGAAATCAAAGGAGTAATTTATGTCATAGAGTAGTAGAATGTCATGAATCAAGAAGTGATGGCGGGCCACTGAATTATTGAAAGATTTAAACTAGATTAATGTATTGGAAATATCAGCGCTATCAATGTTTAAATGCTTTGGTGAGTTCGTTCTCACAATTAGGCAGGTAAAACTTTGCATTCAAATTATCATCATCAATACAATTTTGTATTTTCGTCGTTCGGTTTTAACAGTTCCTTAACTGCGAGAATATTATCTAGTTTTGCTATCTGTAATAAACTTGAAACTAATGAAGCACTGGAGAACAGGCAGAACATAATCACAATAGTTTACTGCAATTTTTCCTCAGGATAATGGCACATATAACGAATTCAAGATAGCTCGCAGTGAAAGGTTCTAGTCGTTTTCATGACCTACTCAGTGGGAACCAAAACTACCATGGAGAACACTTGGGAAGTGACCAAGGTGGCAATCACTCCAACACGCCCTGTGTTTCTGAGCCACGAAAAGTACCATCACGAGACATCAATCTTTGTAAGTACCCTAGATTAAATTTGGAAATGGAGGAATAAATAAGCAGCAACAACGTTCGGAATTCAAAACACAAAAGTTCGATAATCATCTATAACCAGATCGACCAATAACTGTGTTACAAATCCTAATTCACGAATCTAAATGAAGTCTGAGCTGAACAACATAATTAAATAGTTCGCCTCTCCGCAAATCGAATTTCCTTAGTGTTTATTGTTCTCAGTTGATTGTGTCTGGCATGAGCTAAATTCACATTATTTATCAGTGATGTTTATTTGTCATTATTTGATTATTAGCAAGGACATTGCAAAACATGAAATTCATATAGTTCATCAGTTTCAATTCACGATAATGTGGATGGTGGCCTCTCTCCAACTATCTGGTGAAGTTACGAATTCCATTGGTAAATGATTCGATGACAAAGTTAATTGCTAGCCATCGCGTAATTTTTTTCAGGACTTTTGAACTTCCTGAGAATGTCTTTACAAATTCTCTATGTTGCATCAGAAGAAATCTTAGAGTATGCCTGATGTGAGTTTATCATTAATTGGTTTAAGTACTTTGGTCAGTCCACATCTGGTCCTAATACATTACTAACATTACTACAATTTTAAGTCAATAATATTATTGACAATCAGTGACTTCTAGGTCAACAGGCAGTTCAATATTATTCGTCGTTTATGTGTTTATAACACGATGACCTACATGAAATATGATGCAAGCATTATCGGTTACTCTCAAATTCTAGAACTTCAAATGACTTCTGCAGGTTATGTTTAATCCCCTAATTTTCATTTCGTGTGCGATTTCTGTTGAAACTTTTGTTCTTGCTTGTGCTAATACATAGTAGTAGATAACCGTATGGAAATCGATATCTGAAACTGCATGATCACACTCCGGTCTTCCGAAAATTTTTCACGATTAGAGATAAATTTCGAAATACATAGCCTAGGATACAAAAGCTGGACAACACATTTCGCAGCTATTACATACCTATTATTTGAATTACGGTTTCGAATATTCCTATGTTTATTAGCCACAAATCCAATTGCTATATAAATGTAGACCCTTGGTCTTTCAAGCTCACGCGTGAACATATAAACGATTAAGTACTCACCTGGTTCACGCCAGTGTTAACGTCTGACTTTATTCAGTCGACGGTGCTCCACAACCTCACCTGTTGTCTTCAGTAGGACTGCTTTGTTAGAAAATTTTCGGGGATTGAATGAGATCGCGTATCAAGTGTAGTTCAGCTTAGTTGGATGTAAGGAATTGCCAACCGAAAACAATGAATGAGATAGCGCAAAAGCTTGGACTGTGTAAACCTAGATATCAACACCGTTGGATGCCAGCTAAATGATCCAGAGGATAGTTTTCTAAGTTTTTGGAAGTAATTTCTGAAAACTATGTGACATTTCGAAGAGATTTTCGATAAAATATCTTTCAGTAAACAGCAAATGATCACGTCATTTCACTAAAAGTGTACAACTTGCGAACATTCATAAGCGTATGGATTTTATTTTCAAATATAACTGTAATATTTTGAACTGGTTGACTATATTAGTAACCATTGTATAAAATAATATGGCCTGAAGTTATATAATGAGTCGACGACGGTTAATGTTGAAATAATGAATATATGGTTGAATTATTAACTTCAACCACTTGAACTAAGCAGATGAAAATGGATTATGGAGTTTACAGTAACGAAGATGGGTTGATGCATTCTTTCAGTAAGATATAATTATTTTACGTAAAAATAGTATAAATTTCACAAACATTATTTTACTATTGTTACCTTCAGAGAGGATTATTATTTGAATACTAGGTATACAAATCTTGAGATCATGCGTCTCAGTCGGTATAACACTTCTTGAACTGTATTCTTATCCATCATTTCAAAGCTTTAGAATGTAAGAATCGACTTGGCTCACTGATTTTATATGAATGAATGGAATAGTACGTTACATTTTGGAAAAAATTCCTCCTTGATTGGAATGAATTTGTTTTCTATCTCGAAATCATTTTACCAATTCCGTATTAAAAAACAGTCGATGAATATTTACTTCCTTCAACACTTCAACGTTGCAACCAATTGTGACTAGTATAATTCCCTACAATTCAGCCTTGAACCTTTATGAGGTTAAATAGCAGTCCCAAACGTGGATTAAGGAAAAAAGCTAATCATCAGATTACTGACCGCATCCATTAGAAAACTAACTTGCTACAAAAGACTCTAACCAGAAAAATAATCCGAACTCTGATCTGTGATTCGGAAAATATTCATTTTGGGTATTTATCAAGTTCAGTGATGAAAGGCAAGTTTTGTCGGAAGTCAACAGGCAACAACTGACAACTACAGCAACCATTCTTCTAGGTCAGTGAAATTTTCGACCACAATGTGGGTGATCGGCAGACTTTTTCAAATTGATGCACAGAAGTAAAGATACAACGTGAATGAGTTTGTAAAATGTGAACCATATTGCAAGCAGTTTGAATAACTAAGACTAGGTTCAGCTGAGCTGCTGTTATACTCCAACCATGACGAAGAATACGTCTCACACAATCAAGGAGTGGAACTGATGCAGTCCTAGCATGCGCAAAACGCACAGATAGGATAATGATCTCAATGACCTAGGATCATGGTCACATCCTTCGAAACAACGAAAGAAGGCACTACATTAAATGTCATGCAATGCTAATGCGCCCACCACTAAAACTCTGGATGAGACTGAAAAAAACGAACAAGAATGTTGCAATCAACATACGTCGAACAAGAGCAGAGAAAGTCAAAGCGCAATCAGAATGCACAGAAGGTAACAAGCAGGTGAACAGGACAATTAGAATGACAAATACAAATACGTGGCAGATTCAGAAGTTACTGAAATATCGTTAACAAGAAAGGAAAGTCAAAAGTGAAGAAGAAGGGAAATTTTTTTACAGACATTTGACAACAGCTAAACAGATGGCTGGTGAACTATGATAACACTTTAATGAACCAGCATCTTTGAAACCATCCATGTTAAATAATAATAACACATGCACAGAAGCTTAAAATCAGGAGAACCAGGATGATAAATATATTCATGCGGCAGATCTAGCAAGTTGTAAATTATTGTTAAACGGAACGAACATTGAATAGTGACGAAAGAAAATGTATCATAGACTTTTGAGAACAGAGAAACAGGTGCCTGAAGAATTTTGAAGAACACTTTAATCGACCAGCCCCTTTGAACTAATGTAAAAATAAAGCGCACACATGAAATTCATCATAATAACACATGAATGGGTGACATGAATTTGTATTTATTGATTTCAATTCAGACCACTAATTAAAATAAACAATAAAAATAATATTTACGTTAATGATCGTCACAATCGGAATTGAAAAAGCAGTCTTGCTGTAAATGTTCACAATTCAAGAATTCCAACGCAAACTCCGACCACTACAACCATCATTCCACCATTTTGCCACATTCGGTACCCAATATGGACCAAATGCAGGAGATGTGTGAGCTAGTAGACACATTGCACATTGAGGTTGAGCATCGAAATCATGAATGACTCCGTGACCATGCCATGCGAAGTACTCATTATATGCAGTATCATTGTTGTCCAAATATTTCAAATAGTCTGCCAGTTGAGCTGGTGATTCGAATTGGTCGACATGAATGAAAGAGTATGGAGGAGCGACTCTTTGATATTCTTCAATGGAGGCACCCATCACAATTGGGAGTATTTCGCTTCTTAAAAAAATGAATGACGTAGTATTACAAGCACAGAACGGAACGTTACTTTAAAAAGCGTCCTAAATTATTCGAAAGATCTGCGTTCATGAAAATATATAAGGTCAGCTCCTTGAATACACGATTTTGATCGGTTTACACCAAATAATGTGAACAGTTGAATTCATTCGTCTTATTATTGTTTGAAAACGTGGTCTCCAATAAGTCATGAAACATCAGTTAGTACTTCATTTTCCCATTTATCGGGATACTGAAAACCAGTTAGTTCATTTTAGCCAATCTAACCACTGGTCAGTGTCTGTGAGATATTCAAGTCAGACCTTAGTACTGATAACAAAGGTTCGTAGTCATATGGAATACTTCGCAATTTTTTCGTGATTATAAGACATGTTAACTACTAATCTTTTTCCACCAAAGGCATAAATGTGAGCCAAAAACACTTCAGTATAGCAATGTAAAATGCAACTCAGTAGTTTTTTGAATTTTAGTTACATGTGTAGGCCTATTGTTGTACGACAATGATGAGTTATGCCAGATTTATTGGACGTTTGCAGATGTGCATTCAGTACAACAACGTGGATATCGCAATGGAGCGATGTAGCATAAACTTAATCATTATTCAAAATTTTCAGCGTACACGAACGATGACTGTCAGTGGAATGCAGGATGAAAGTTTCGTCTTATTTTGAATCCTTCGTCAGGTTGTCGTCCATAGTGAACATCAACCCTGAGATCCATACGAGTGTGAAAAACACTTCACACTGAGCTGTTGAAAGTATTCAAATTATTACTCTAACACCCTCAACTTTCACTTATATTGGATAACACTTTTTTCTTCTTCTGTCGGTTCATATTCTCAAAGTTGATTGTAATAGCCTATTATGAAAGATGTCATTATTCAAATACAGTTTTGTCAGACAAGCTAATTTCATATGATTGGTCCGAAGTACTTCAGCATATTGCGGTTATTCACGCACAAAACCATGTTGATGTATTTGACCACATTGAAATGCAGGATAAATGCAAAGCTACTTACTTCAGTGCATTTTTGAAGAGCTTCTCTGTTATATACTCACTGCACAAACTGTTTTCAAAGCTCAGATAAAACTTGTAATTTTCACGAATCATTCTCAGGCAGCTCTCTGATGATCTGTCGATCGAATAATCCTTTTGACATACCAACGTACCACATGAACCATAAATATCAACCTAGAAGTAGAAAAATTCCGGCAACTATTGAATTAATAAATTATAAACACTTGTTTTTATCTAGCGTTTCAACACTAATTTAATTTATAAGATAAAGTGATTCAAAATCAAGTATTTTGACTTTCCTAAAATGTATTGATGATTCAATGTGATTGTCGCATCAGAAAGTTAACTTCATTCATTAATATTTAAGAACTCAACCAAACTTATTCGGTTATGTTTTATTACTTCCTTACTTACTTTTTGTTGCTTTGTACATCCTTAGTTCAGACAAGGTTTCAGTCTCTTTTACCACGATTTCATCTCAAACCATTGTTAATAGCAAAATAGCAGACATCAAGAACTGTTTCGCACTGACAAATGTTGCACAGTACTTTTCGTCGAAAACACTGACAATTTGCACAAAATAACTGTAAAAACATTGTCAAACTCACAGAGATATATTGTGAAAGTTCTTTGGCATATTTCATCCTAGGGCTTTTATGATTACAATTACTCACAAACCATGCAACTTTCTTCGATTTACCGTCAGCGATGTTTCTTTTAGGCAGAGGATACCGTGTTTCTGGTCCATGTTGTAATATATTTGGTTCATAAGAACCATATGGTGAATAAATTGTTGAATCCAAGCGATAGGATACAGTGAAATTAACCTTCGAATTCAAGGGACAAATCGAAGTAAAATGATATCATGAATAGATATGCTGGTGAAATTACTTATTTCAAAGGAGTGATTGGTGGTGGTCGTTTAGTTTTGTTGTCAAACATCGCACTCTGACAGTACAGACTGAAACGATTGTTTCACGATCGGTTGTGTAGTCCGTTATCCATTATAGAATATGTTTTTCGAGCGCTTGTATTAGCTAGTTGAATGTTTTGCTCTCGATTCTTGTTCCTTCAGTTTGTTTCGAGATGTATGGAATGATCATACTCGACTGCAATTAACCTAGTCGGTTGACGTTCTTAGATCGAAAGTCTTAAACTGGGACGAGACAGGTGATTCCTGGTTTCCGAAGATGTGCATCATATAAAAATAAAGTACTAGGAACAAGAAGACCAAACAAAGTATTCTCGAACCATGTGGTTGAATCGTAATTAGATCGATGTGTTATTTTAGAAAGCTACTTTAGTGACTCTCTCAAGGACGCTTCTTTGATATATAAATAAACGCAATTTGTGTGTTTGAATGTATTATGCTTGTTATGTGTTTGTAAAATACACTTTCTACATCGTATCAAGAATATGTCTTCCATAAGTTTTGGATCAGAGTAGCCTATCGTTTCACTGGGTCATTGCCTTGTTCTCGTTTATCGATCCAGGTGAACTCGTAATAGTTTCAAGCACATTAAGTGGCGAGCAAAACAGAGATGCCGAAAATGATGTTTAAAATGATTCGGTGAATAATAAACAGCAGGCACGTAAAATTGGATTTGATTGTTGAAGCCAAAGCGTTATCGAAAATTCGTGAAACCATTAGTGGCGAACACAGTTATTCACTACGTGTGCGTGGGCAATGATGTCTGCTATAAGCCAATACATTTTATTAAAGTGGTTCGAATAAGTTGGGCAACGGTAGCGAGCAAATTGAATTCACACAACTGGGGTAACCAGTATGTGCCTGAAAACATACATTTATCGGGCGCTAAGAGTGAATGTAAAGAGAAATTCACTACAAATGCTGATGAAATGACTGTGGACTGGATTATCGATTATGATTTTCTAAATAGTGGTATCAAAGCTATGAAGTATGGTAAAGTGTAACTGTGAAATGATGAAGAGAATATACCGTTGAATAACCACATTGTGATCTTAATTTTTTGACCTTCTATAATAGTAAACTGATGCAATTTTATCAAAATTTTATCAATACTACCAGATATTCTATCAGTTCAAGATATGTAAAAGAGCTAACTCAATGGAATAGACTCAAAATACACATTTTCGTTTTACAAATGTCTGTGAATGTCAACATCACAATGGCGAACAAGAGCAATGCAACATAACTTAAATCACTTACTTCATTTTCCAAAAAATCTGCCATCACAACGTGTGCAGGCGATTCGTGTATTAAGCCAAACCATAACTGCTCTGGTGGCCGAAGTCCACTAGGTACTTTACTTTCTGTAATTATAAGAGCGTCAGCCTCTCGCCATCTGCTCATATTAGTAATCAGTGTACATTTTGATGCATGACATTTTGAAAAGTCCATTGATGGAAAAATTATACGATCACCGTATCTGAGAAACTTCTTCACCTGAAACCAAAGGAGAACAGTGGTATGTCAGTTTACTTACAGGAACCGTTTAAACTGCGCATGTTGGAACTGACGCAAATATTATGACATTTACGATGTTTGGGATTGTCCTGTTATTGATAGATTTGATGAGTTTTGGTTGGCGTTTCAGCAAGCGGAACGGCTTGCATTGACCTAGCCATGATGAAGCAAGCTTTTTCAGGATAGGTAGAACTTGCTTGATAGTGATAGAATTCAGTTCCATAGTCTCATCCCATTTCTTGCTTGTCAAATGGATTGAATTATATTTCACACAACATGATCACTATGCTCTTTGAACTCAGCATCATTTGCTTCATG